AACAACGCTGCAGGAAAATGACTTGTCCGCCCTGCCGCTCAGCCCCCCCAAAAAACTGTGTGCCTTAAGCCTACAGCGGTAATACGTCCGAACCTCATTTCTTGACTTCACGACCTTTCTGCAGCCAATCACGCTCGCTGGCCAAGCCACCGCGCCTCGTGTGTTGGAACCTCGTCGCCGCTCGACCGGCTTAACCGCGCCGACCCACTACCGCACAAAACCACCCTGCGAGAACCCTAACGCACACCTCCACACGACGCCAACAACCGGCGAACACATCTAACCACCCGACCAACAACAATCCACGCCACTTCCCCGCACGCGTGCCATTTTTCCGAACGGCTTGCAGCAGCAAGTCGTTGGTGACCTCCCCCCCCCTGGTGGCCGAACCGCCCCGACGCTGGAAATCAATCCAAAAAATCTCTTTACAAGAGCGCACGCAACAACAGCGATCCCTGACTCCAGGGCAAGCACTAGTCAAGTATTTGCCCTGTCTGGAAAGATCGCCGTGCTTCGTGGGCAACGGGGGAACTCTGGTAACGAACGCACGCACGCACACAGAACACCGCCGCACGCCAACATGCAGACACCCAAACACTCCAAACACATACAGCACGCTTTAACATACACACAGCAGTAAACACCTAAGACACACTGAACGCACGAGCTAAATTAAACCGTACCCAAGACCTTGGTCTCGGCCCGTTGTTGTCTTCCATCCAGTCACTCATAACCCCACCTCACCAGACCCCGCAAGCAGCCACTTACACAGCCGTCGCCGCCATTGGCAGCCCGAGCGAGGCTACCCCGTTCCCGACGCTGACACCGCCGGCCGAAGCGTTGGATTTCGGAACGGTGAAATGAAACCCCCCGCCGGTAACCGGAGCCGCCGCCGCCGCGGTCGCCTTTTCGCGCTCCTCCTCCCCCTTGCTACCACCGTCCCGCCCGCCGCCCTCGCCAACAAGCTCTTCGGATGCGGCCCGGCACACACCTCCCGTCTTCTCGTCACCCCCGCTCTCGGCAGCCGCCGCCCCGTTCTCACCAGACGTCACGCTCGATTCCGCCGGCGGCTCGGCGGGCTCGGCCGTCTCGGTCAGCGCAGCAGGCCCCACCGCCTCCTGCGGCTTGCTAGTTTTCGATGCCCCGTCCTGACCGTCGTCAGCGTGTGGGGACCTACCGCTGCCGCTGCCGCCGCAGCCGGCGGCAGCGGCAGCGGCGACCTTCCTGTCCTTCGCGGCCGCCTGATCCGCACCGCCGGCGCCGGCGCCGGCACCGGCACCAATGGCAGCAGCTGTGGCCTGCTTCTCCTCGGCCTCCACTGCCGCCATCTCTTCGAACGTGGGCGGCTCTTCCCACTCAGCGGCAGGGGCTGTGGTGGCTGCAGAGGGTGCGGCGGCGGCGGCGGTTCCTACCATGGCAGCGACGGCGCCTTCGCCGGGAAGGCGCCCGGCCGGACCGTCCCTCCAGCCGTCGAAGCCGTCGTCACCGCGGCTACCGCCGCCGGGGCCCCCGCCGGGGCCCCCACCGGGGCCACCGCGGCCCCCGTTGTACACCGGCCGCCACCTGCTCGGGGCGCCGGGGTCAG